AGAACCAAGTACATATTGCCTTGTTTTAGATAATATCATTAATGAGATTCTTGGCTAAACTCAAAACAGTTTCAAGAATATATTTTATTATAAAAATGTGCAACTATCCATAAAATTTTATTAGGCAGTTTTTTTATATTATAATCATTGGAGGAGTCAGAGTTGTGTCCTTGCCTTCCTTCTGTGCTTGTTCATATCTTACAACTAAATTACACTGTTGAAATAACAGTTACTTCCTCATAAAACATTACTAAATTGTTATTTTCACGAAAGCAAGAGTAATTCTTGAAAACCTAAGTAGTTTTGGTAGTCAGAAAAGAAAACTCGGAATTTTATGTTCTACGATGGAAATCTAAAGGCCATGCAAATTTGCTATTCAAAATATTAAACATTAAAATTAATGGTTAGATAGAAATGTTTTCCTATGATTTTAAGTGCACAACTTTGGATAAGGTGTGTTGGCAAAATAAAATGTAGCAATAATTTGTAAGTAAAAGACACACTGGAAGATCTTTGTGGAGAATGTACAGTCTGTGTGAGTTGTCTGGAACTGATAAAAACCCTAGGCCATCACTTAGGAAATCTTACCCACCAAAAGCTTCCTTTGCAGCCACTGCTGCCTGCCCACGAAGCTCCTTGAAGTCTTTTTCCAGAAGAATAAAGGAAAAATGACCCAATTTATGCTTTAACAGATATTGTTCTGTAACAAGGAATGAGAGTCTAACTGCTGTGTGAGCCCAGCTCGTGAAGAGACCCATGAAAAACTCAGGAAACATAGAGTAAGGGGTAATTTAAGATAAAGCTTTAGAGGGGAAAAAAAAAAGGAATCTGAGTAAATGGTCAGCCTTTGAATCACCTGAATCATATCCCTGTTTTAAATGAGAAGAGTGGATTTCCACAGGGTGAGTTCTTGGATAAAGGAAGGGGCAAAATCAGGCTCTTGGTATAAAGTTAATATAATATGTAGACACTGTTTCTGTCAAGTCTGTGCCCAACTGATTTTGTCACTATTACTGCTTTGTTCTTTCATCCCACCAGCATCACTTGTAGTATTCAGGACGTGCTCGAACAGGGCTGATGCCTTGTCATTGCAAATGTACTCAGCATATTGGTGAACAGGATGGGATTTTTGTCACTGTGTCCAAGTCCCAGGATGTGCTACAGTGCTACTCTTGGGTCTCTTAAAAAACAACAGCCTTATAGGCTGAGAAAAACCCTATTTGGAAGTTGGTAGTTAGACATGATTCAGATCAGCTTGAAGGAGATTTTGCAGCTCTCTGCCTATATGCAACCTTAATTTTTTGCTTTGTTGGATTTGATGAGGGCTCAGGCTCTGTTGGCTGGGTCAACAATGCCAGGAGCAGGCTCACAGACATTGTGGAAATACAGACTTTACACCTTGGGGAGTAGAGAGTTGCTGAAGTTAGACAATTTCCTATATCAGCTTTCTTTGATTGCTTTTGAATTGATCTTGTGGAATACTTCTGCAAAATGGCTTTTGCAACCACTTCCTGCATATGGAAGTTGTGGGTTCCTGAGCAGGCTCACAGCATGGTCAGTCCAGCAAATGGCTCTTACTGAAAAAGCCCCCTGCCTGATTTTAGATATTGGCTCCACAGGCATATGCTCCTTGTAATTGAGTTTGCTGTCTAGGGAATCGAGTGTGGCATGAGATGACATCTTAAACCCTGGCTGTTGAAGCTATAGTGTAGGTCTCCTTTATTTGCTCAGTTTAGGCCGCAGCCTAGCAGCATTTCAGCATGCTTTTAATTTTAAAAATTGCTATTGCTAGCTGAAGTCTGGTTTGTGTCCACTTTCTGGTGTCCTGCAAATGGACTATGTGGACTCCACAGGCACTCAAGTGAGTTATGGACTTCCACTTGGCTGTGGACCTGGATGTGCTATGACCACACTTCCACAGTACTGTGCTGTAGCTGTTTAACCTGCGGCCCAGCCATCTGTGTCACCGACCTGTCTTTTCTCCATCAAACCTCTAGTCTCCTTCATACCACATGTGCCTTCAGGCTAATCTGAATGCTCGTGACACCGTCTGTGTGTTTTGCTTTATCCTGGGTGTCCCAAACTACTTTAAGCTCAGTTATGTGAAAGCTGGCTATAAACAGCTAAGTTACACACGTATAACACGTCATACATTCAGTTTCTTTGCAACCTAAAGGACAGGAGGGTACACAAGTGCTCTGCTTATTTTTGTCTCTTTGGCATTAGGCTCCATTTGAAAGGAATTTAAAACACCAGGCAAAAGTGACAAAAACATAACTCACTTTCTGTAGTGCACTTGCTATATACATTGTCATGAAAAACTGAAATACAAGTTAATACATACTTATTTTATTCCAAGCTATAGAATAAGTGCATTTAGGCAGCTTTTCAAAGTGTATTGTACACTGCATGCACAATAAATCAGTTTAATAGCTTGACTTTTTTACAATTTGTGTTCAAAGAACTGTATGATAGGCAATGAGATCATGTTACGTCTTGTCCATTTGGACCACATCCATTTTTGTCATAAAAAAAATTTGGGAAACCCAAAACAGTAAACAAAATGTATATTAAATGTTTTAATATGAGCATTTGCTCTAAGAAAGAAACTTTACATGTTATATTCAATTTTTCAATCCCTCCCAAAAGAGGATTTTAGACAATAAATTTTGAACGTGATTTCATTGCAGTATTACACTGAAGATTGGTGTAATATTTTTCAAAATGATGTCACAGTTTCCAAGTACAGATTTTGGAATCTTATGCTAGAAATCAAGGTAATATTTTAGGGCCTGCACATCTAGCTTTAAAACTGTCTTGAAAGGATGACTTGTCTGTGTTGACAAGAACGTCTACCTGTGTGAAATATCTTATAAAGATAGCTTATGACTAGCAGGTCACCGTCAAATAGTAACATTAAGAATTCAAGTCTACATTTGTCAAGACTTATGCATGCAGTTTTGTCTCTTACACATTGCTTAGATGTGTGCACTAAATGTGTTGTGCCTCAAACACCAACAACTTGAAATTACACTATATAAATATATACATATATGATGCTGTATATGTTTAGTACCAAGTAAATATAACTAGTCAAATGATACTAGACATATGTTGGACCATAGTTAAATTCCAATTAAGAAAAAAGCAAGAAAATTTTTTTTTCCTAACAGCATTTCACAGTAGAAGGAGGCAGTCCTTTCTCACTGAATTTTTCCCCCCCTCAGGATTTGTAAACATCATAGCTCATATTCTATCAGTATAATAATTGAATATTTTATTCATAATGGTAAATAGGTAACCAACATGAATAAAGTTGTCATAACACGGTAGCACTTTCAGACAAAACAGGTATTTATTAAAAGAAACATTTATAAATATTTTGTCTTGCATTTTAAACTACATTTTCATAAATAACAATATTTAAAAGTGCTGAATATGGTAGGATAGTCAGCAATGCCACTGTAAACAGATTTGTTTTTCCACTTTGCAGATTTTTGTTTTAGATCCCATTTTGTCAAACACTACAACAGTTAAAATATTTGCATAGGGAATAGAGAATAGCCCTTTTAATCATCTCCTGAATTCTATATAAATTACAAAACCAAATGAGCACACAGGTTTCAAGTAAAAAGAATGACTAAAAAATTCCCCAAACCTGCTATTTGAAGCATGTTCAATAAATTAAGAAAATGAGAGGTAGTAAAACAAAGGGAAAAAAAGAAGCCCCAGAAGATAAACTAAGACCTGCACCCTCCCAGTTAGGGTGTCACAGCAGACCTGCCTCGGCAGCAGCAGCTCCCGCCAAAGCCGGCACCGGAGGCTGACCGCAGGAAGTAACTGAGGGGTTGGAGCCAACTGTGTTCAGGCCAGATTCCACTCAAGGACACAACTGCCAGACCTTCCAGGCCAATCGAAAGCGATGGGCTTGTGCCATGTTTAGTCCTATGTAAGTGAGAAGAACCTCGCCTCAAGTCTTAATATGGTTGTCAGTATTAAATATATATATATATATACACACACACACACATATATATATATATTTAACAAGTATTCAGAGCAATTTCTTGGTATATCTTTAGCAGTTTATGAGGGATACTAACACTCATTTTGCTTGCTTATGGTAGGTATGAAGATGGGGTTTTTTAAGTTCCAAGTCACTGTCTCTTTAAACATCAAAATGCGTCCTGAAACTGGACATTCTTTGATAAAAAGGCCAAGCAAACACCTATTAAAAACACCATGGCAGCCTAGCGATAGGAGTACTGTGCTGCCTTAGCTCAGATTAAGGGCTCAGTACAGGAATCTTTACCCAGGAAAGATACCCATTGTGTTTCTGTAGGCATTTTGCTTGGGTAAGACCTGTTTAGAAGCCCTTGAAGTTTGGTTTAATAATTCTCTCCAAACTCCTTGTTTTCAAGGAGTTGTTCAAAATCAATGAGGCTAGAAGCTAAGTCTTCTTTAACCCGCCACCTCGTAAAACATGACTTCATTTAAAAACATTTTTTACCGGATTTAGCTTTCAAAAAAAATATCTTACAGAACAGATGCAGTTCATCAAAATGTTCTAAAATGCTCTAAAATGCTACATGTAGGCAATCTTTTATTAAATTTCTTTATTCAAAAAACTAAATTATCAAGCTTTTTGTGTTGTTTCTTGTTTCTTTTTTTTTTTTTTTTTTGCTGAAGTACATAACATTATACAACAGTGTTAGAACTGGATAGCCAGTCTTTAATAAATCAATTACAGTATCTGACATCTGAAATGTACATTGAAAATCTTTGTTCTTTTAACAATTAAACAATATCAGCGCATAGATTGTGTCACCCAGAAATGGATCCCTTTAAGTGATTTGTGCTTTTTTTTTTTCTTCTTTTATTTTTCTTTTGCTTTGACATTGCAAACTCTGTAATGAAAATGCCACAGTTTTGGCAGTGAACAATCAGAGGAATCCTCTGCTTGATTTATTTTAAATAAACAGTGATAAATAGCTCTTTTTCTCTGTACAGAAATATTGGCTTCAAAAAGTCAGTGTATTGTACTCAGTAGAGCATGTAGAGTAATGCTACACCTTAAAAATTGGCTTTTTAGTTAGTGATGTTAAAAAATGCAAGCCTCTTTCTGGTTTGCTGCAATTGTTTCTATGTACCATAGGACTGTATTGCACAAAAAAAAAGTTTTTAAATACAGATATAATTTATGTTATTGGATTAAATATTGCAACAACTAAGTGGTAAGTGAAGCAGTTTTACCTTGCACATGCAGTGTGAGGATACACAAGGAGACTGTTCATAAAACTACAAATACATCATTGCAATCTTGACTGCAGTAGGGTGAAAGGAGTGTGAAACAAATGTATTTTGGCAAATCCATTGATCCCCTCCCACGCCATCTTGAGCAAGGAGGACCTTGGTAAAAATGTAGACAGAGACCATAATATGTTTGTTTTTTTTCTTCACAGTAGCCTGAGTAGTGCTAAACTGTAGTTCTCCAGGAACTCAGCTCCAGATGTTATTAAACTACTTTTCTTCCATCCCACCCACCCCCCAAAAAAATCAAGTTGTTTTTTTTTTAATTATAATTAAGTTTCAGAAGTAGAGCCTGTAATACTTTCAACAAGAGACTTATAAATCTGAGAGTTCAAAAACCTTGGAAAAGAGTCTCTGTGCATCAAGGTGTATATCTGGAGCTGGGCATCTTCATACATGTGAGGGCTGGGATCCAACAAGTTTCTGTTGATCACTTCTCTCACTCGGGAATCAAGACTAACCTGAAGAAGATGAGCACAGAATAATAAAACAGTAACACTGGAAAAGCCGTAATATGTGTCTTTATTTCTCAGGGCTCCACTGAAGATATTGAATTTATCAGTTATTCAAGTAATGCTCTGTGCTTCTTTCAGAATCATCACAAAATTACTGTATAATGAACTGAAACCATCAACTTTATTTCAGTTTTGACTTGGTCTTTGCATCCATCTTAAGATCTGTGTAATTAAATGCAGCTGTATAGCAGATTAAATGCAGTACAATTGAAGTTTCCCAAAATATGTTGTTTTACCTTAAAAAATAATTTGCATGTATTTAAAATTATTTCTCTGAACTGAACGTTGAATTACTTTCATTCAGAGAGCTGCAAGTTTTTTTTTCTGAGCATTTGTGGTTAAACTTTTGGAAGATTTCTATTCATCATTCTTATCTGGCTGCCCTAGAGGGTATTTCTTTTCTAGTTTTTTTTAGGCACTACACTTGTTCTTTACAAATTACCCAGGGATTTTTATAATTTTTATTATGTTAATCTCCCCATTAATGTTAACTATTTCAGATTTGTTCTTCTTGTCAGGACTCTTCAACATCTGGTAATTCATACTTTTGCATTTTCTGTTATCACAGAGCAGGTATGTTATACATTGGACTGCCAGGCGAGGGTCTGAAAGTCTGTCAGATGTCTTAGTATGAACATGAAATCAGGAAAGGAAGTGACAGAAACAGCAGGCACTGGGCCATTTAGCATTACCAGCCACAACACATCCAAGTTCTCTATAAGGCTCAAGAAACTCAGTAAGAGAAGGCTGAGAAATAGGTTTGCTTCTTTAGTAATGCTACATGTCTGACAGAGAGAGGTAATGCTTATAGGAAGTAAATGGATTTCTGGAGAAAAAGAACCAAAATTAAGGGATTTAAATCAGAATCTTTATCAGTTTATCTGCTGCTACAATTGTCTGGGAGAAAATCTGAACTTCTGGTTATTCCCATATGAGAGTCCAAGAATGAAGCTGACATATTTTATCAAATGAAATGCATAATACCTAAGGAATTATATAACATTTTATTCAAGCCTTTAACTGAAATAGATTAATTTTGAAATTATCTTCACCTGTAGTAAAGAAAAAGCGTTCCTAGCAAACCACGTTTTGTAATGCAGAGATATATAAATATATAAGCACTATAGAAGAGTTTTTCTTAGGCCACATCATGTACCTTTATCTTCTTTGCCTTGTCTTTGTGCATTGTATTTGAATTTCTACTCAATGGCGTTATGCTAATTTATGCTCACTGTGGACCTTGCTTCCTACATTTTACTTCTTCATTCAGTAATAATTTGCAACTTCATTCATATGAATGAAGTCAAAAGTGATTTATAGCTCCATTATCTTCTCTTGTGCCATAGTATCTGCTTTTGCTTTGGAGTGAAATACAATTGCCAATACAGGAGGCTAATAATAAGTTTTTCTTCTAATACTGTATATTTACCAGCTAGGTATGTGATGAATGCTCAATTGTCTTTTTAAGCTAAGATCAATCAGCATTTGGAATTCAAACACTAACTAAGCATTGTTTGACTTAGAGTTTAACAAAGCTAGTCACGAACTTGGTGCACTGGATGCATATAGATCTCATCAATCCAGCTGCTCCTGCCCATACTGGAAATCTTAGGAGGCAAACAAGAACTGTTTGTAATGCATTAGAACAGCATGGGAATGGAGAAATTCTTGTTCGTCCAGTCATCCCTTTCCAGATGCTACCTTTTGGCATAAGAGCTGAAATATTTAGCATGACTTGTTCAGTAAAGAAGTTATTGAGGCAGAAGGTCTTAGTGTTCTAAACAGATACTTTGTATTCATCTGTTTAGCTAGAAAATACCTTTAGTAATTCCAACTAGTTTTGCCATCTGGCTTTAGTGAGTCACTGAAAAAATACAAAGCAAATTAACGGTTCCATAATTAATTTTGTTTTTTTCATTCTCTAAATGCAATTAACTTTTATTATGCTCAGTGGCTCAAAACCCCACTATCCTGCCAAATTTGAGGGTTTTCTGATCCCAGCTATTATGTTTGATATTGAAGAACCAATTAGCTGCACAGACTGTTTTTTTTTGACCTAAATGTGTGTGCCTGCATGTCAGGGGAAGAATTGCTTAAACCTTAGTATGTCCTTTTCGTGCTGTAGAAATGCAATGGTCTGGGCTTGAAGTCTATTCAAACACATTCTGAAGACACATGGCTGCAACACTGCCACTCAAAACTAGCACAGCACTGTACTCCTGCCCATACTCACTGGCTAAGCAGCACCACTGGTCTCTCATAGTTGTGCCTTATGACTGATAACCAAGTGACAGCAAATACTGGAGGAGAAAGAGCTTGCCTGTTCTGTCAGTAGCATACTCCAATATGCCACCAAACCAACAATACAGCTAGTACTGAAGATAGAATGAAAATTTATATTTACTTCTCAGTACTGTATCGTACTATACCACACCACACCACACCACACCACACCACACCACACCACACCACACCACACCACACCACACCAGCGTATTTCAAAGACTTTGCTTCACCATGTATGAAATCACAGGCTCACAAATCCAAACATATTTTGAATTTTCATCTTGGTTAGCATCCTTCATCTAGCAAGGTATCTTAATACATGGAGATTTCCAGGGTTGAAGTAAATCCTTCAGACAGTATTCTATCTTTGTATGGTTGCAGAGCAGTAGGGTCAGGTTGCCACTTGGTGTAAATGAGAGTATCTTAACTGATCTCTTCTTGGCATTTATCTACTCAGGATTTTAGCCCTTTCCATCTTAGCTGATGTCAGTGAGCTTTGCTGCTACTGCCATTTCATTTAATCCAGAATGCAATAACTTACTAGGTTTTAGAGCATTTTGTGGGTAAACTGTACTCACATTTCTAAAGGATATTCTAAAATCATATGGGCATTCATCCCAAGCATAATATGTCCTTTTCTGCCTAAGAATTTCCTTTTGCATTTGCATAAGTAATATTTACAGCTTTACCTCTTTTGGTGATAGTATAGAAATGTAATCTTCATATATAAGTCTTGCTTTTTCTTCAATAACTTTCTTGTTCTGTTCCTTCTTTAGATCTTCACATGCAAGCCAGAAAAGCAGGTTCTCCTCACTATACTCCGTTCTAAGAAACTCTCTGAAAAGGTTCCTCCCAGCTGGTGTTTTCATCATCTTGTCAAAATTCTGAGCCCAAGACAAAATTTCATCTGCAGTAGGGTTTTGGCTGCAAAAGCAAATATCATTACAAATATCCTTCTATTTTTGTAACAGTGTTTTCATACATTCATCCAAAAATTCTCCTTTCAACTGTACTTTAATCCAAAGTGAAAACTGGAAGCAACAAGGCTTCAGCAGTAACAGGGGATTTTTTTTGTGCTCTTGACTTGTGCATTCATTATCCCAATAGCCCACTAAATGTTTTTAATGTTATGAGACATGCACTTCACTTTTTATGAGTTTTCTGCTGGTGTTCTTGGCCATGTGGCTCAAAAGCACTGAATTCCTGCCTCTGCAGTTAAAGGAGATTCCAGGAAGCTGGAAATAGACTCTCTTTCGTGAGTTTAGATGACACCTGATGTCCCTGCCTCCCTCTGATGGTGACTGTACACGTTTTGGTTTAGGAAGAACAAGAAAAACAAAAAGCTCTTGGCAGCCAAAAGCATACTAATGAGGCCAAACAAAGTAGTAATTCAGAGAGATTTTAAATTAGCATATTTCTCTGTGTTTGCACCTAAGGGTTGCTAAGCTTCCCTCTGTTTCACGCTATTGACCTGAATGATGATCTTTTGGCCTGAGATGTGATGGATTTTGCTGGCAAAACTGTAAAGAGAAGAAATGGGGAAAAGTCCTTATTTCCATTTCCTGAAGGAAAGTATTTGTGGCTTTTACCAGTGGATGCACTGGGTAAGTGATCAGAAGACTTACTGGTGTCACTAATCCATTAATGTAACAATGAATACCTTAAGAAAGTAATTCTCCAGATTACTTAACACCAATTAAATATCGTTTCAAACTTAATTTTGAGCACTCATCCTCTCCTTCCTTATCTAAGACAAGAACTTTACTAGCTGTTGTCATTAGCTTCTCTGTTAGCATGATGCACAATTAGTGACATTTGTCCATATAATTTCTGTTCAGGTCAATTTATCAACTCCTACTCTGCATGCAAGGCAGAGTGGATGATGGGAAGCTATTTGTGATAAATCACAAATTGTTTAACTGCAGAGTACTTTAAACTGACTGAAAAAGTTTAAACATAGATTTTAAGGTGAACAGTCCTCTCAGGACTCTGGCCTCTCTGCTGAGGTGGATGGGGCTGACAAACAACCCAGGCTCTCTTCACTATCGTATTTTGTAGAAATTAGTGATATTGTCTTCTCATAAAAGACCATGATGAGTTGTTTGGGTTGTTTTTACCACCATATGTATCCTTTAAAGTTTCTTTCTGATGGAATTCTCTTCTTATGGAAGAGAACTCAGGGTCCCTGACAGATTACCATTTTCCCCACACAATAAACATGGGCCCAAGCTTTAGACAAGTAGAAGCTCAGATTTCCAGTGCATTTAACCTAGTTTGCAAGGTATGTGTTTTTTGGTTAATTCCAGTGAAAATATAGTTCAAGCTGTTTTATGAAAGGTAGCCATGTTAAAAATTTGGTCATGATGTACACTTGCGAGTATAAATTTTTTTCTTGTCTGGATAGACAGGAAGAAATGTTTTCACAGGTAGCAGAGGCTTCTTATAGAGATCCACATATGGAACTATCCATGCACCTTCCATTTCTCCCCATGGCTATTCCCCACAAATAAGAAACTGTAAATAAGCCTGACTTGTGAATGTCTCTGCTGTCATTTCATTGTCAGCACAGATTTTGCTTCCCTTTGTATAGAATTTTTTGGAGGAAAAGCAATTAAAAGGACATTCCCAAAGAATTAAACCCAAGACAATTATTGATATTAGTAAAAGACAAAACACTTATTAGATACCAGTTTGATCAACTTACCATTCTTCTATGACCTGGATACTCTCCAGTTTGGTTGTATGTGGTGGCCTTCCTGCATTGTCTCCTCTATCTTCATTCCTAACAGTGAGGCTGCAATGTAGTACAACACTTTATTTTGTCTAGAGAAAGTTAATTAAAAACAATGACTATAGTAATGCAAACTTTTAAAAGATATAGGCCTATATAGGGTATAATTTTTCACTCTCATGTGTAAAATTTTAGAGAAAAATTTTTATAATGACTTTTCTCCTGAACTATGATGAATATAAATTTACAGTTGCTATTAGCACATACAGGTTTTTTTTGAAGCTCACCGTTTATTCACTGAAATATGGGCAAATACTTAGAGGTCACTTTTGGAGTATTTTCAAATACTTAGTTGACTGAGAATACTAACAACAGTATGAGTAGGGGGGATATGAATATCTGAACTGGATATTTATGGGGCTTTGATGCCCCAGTAGTTCTGGATAGTTTTTCGGTCTTCATGAATGTTCCCTTTTCTCTCTCCAAGATACAGTCCAGTAGATGGCTCAGATACAGAACTTAGCATGTGGCAGCTCCTTATGATTTCCTCTTCTGACCTAAATTTGTTTTCCATTCCAAAAAGTAAAACATACTGGCTTCTGAGTAGAAAGGCCTCTATTACCTTCATATTACCACAAGCAAGGAAAAGAAAGACTTCCATTATGCAAGGATATTTTTAATGGTTTTGTTTTTTTTTTTTTTTTGCTTCTCCTTTGAACTGATAATTAGAATAACTTTTTTTTTTCTGCAAATATCTTTTTAATCAGATTTGCTGTAGTGGTAAAGACTTCCTCTGTGTGTGTTCTCTGTGAATCTTCTGGAACATGGTATTGGCAGCAAACCCACAATTCCTGATAACTACTGCAATAAAGTATGTTTTGAGTGACATAGATATTCATATGGAAAACCTAATTCTGATAATTAAGCTTAAGAAGTGGAATGTAGTAAGGAGATGGAAATTTCTTTTCATCAGGTGTTCCCTATGTGTCTGGTTGAGAGAAAACAAGCAACCAAGCAAAAAATCCCCCTTCCAATGTCAAGAGCTCTTATTTTGAATATTAAGTGTTCACAATACAGTGATGCTCTCAGTCACTCTAAGTGTTGCTGCAAAAATATGTTTATAGCATAAAGCTTCTCCCTCCCCCACTAATCTAAATAACTCCTGCTCAGCTTTAAAAGGAAATCCCATCTCTGAGACATCTTTAGCACAAATAATCTTTCTTTATAGGTTCTCTGCATTTATGAGTTTCTTCAACATTTTTTTTCCAAGCATTTGGCAGAGCTAATAGGTATTCTCAAATACTCTTCTCAAAACTGGAAGTTTAAGCTCCCAGATAAAGCAGAACACATATTAAGACTTAAACATTACAAAGACGTACACTTGCAAAAGAAGCTTTTTGATACTGGTTGCTCCTTCACTTACCTGCCAAGACCTTAGTTCAGGCCCTTGGTCCTGCTTCCCCTGTTACAGCGTAGGTATGCAGCTCCAGTGCTGCTAAGGTTGTTAGGGTGTCATCAACTGCTGCAGGAGAAACAACACATCCTGAACTCTGGGGTTGGCAGGTAAAAAGCCTTTCCGTCTCCTCTGACCTGTTGTTCATCAGTCTACAGAGGGAGCACCCAGGAAAGACAGAAAGGAGTTCCATGTACAGGAGGAGAAAAAAAAGGACCATCCACTTTCTTTCTGTCTTGTAATCTTTAAGTCTACACATGTAACTGCTTAGGGTCACCTTGCATCTGGCCAGAGCACAAAGTTGGAGAGAGGGAGAAGCAGGGAAAGCACAAAGCTCTCTCTCCCTCTCTCCCTCCCTCCCTCCTTCCCTCCTTTGCAGTCAATAGGTAGAGCAGCATTTGTCTTCTCTGCTGGGTGAAGAGAGCAGAGTGTCCTTTGGTTCCACGGAAGAATAACACCATGGAAGGAAACGGCTTGTGTAGGTTGTGACAGGATGTTCATTTGAGTTTGCCTAAAATACAAGGAAGCTGCCTGTTTTCCTTTCTCCATCACATGAGCAGCAACTAAGCTGTACTGAGATAATTCACTTGTCATGCACTAGACATTCAAGGTTTGGATGCAGAGTCTTACTGGAAGTAAAATGTGACTCATCTGAGAGAAGTCAGTATACACTGCTAATTTAATTTGTTGTCTGGGATCAAATACTGTTTGCTTTGCTCATGCAAAATTTCTGCTAGACTTGGGAAAACCATCATGGGTTGATGAAGGGGGAACAATGTAAAGTAGTGAGTG